GTCAACTTTGAAAGAACTTTAAAAAAAAGTCAGCAAAATTAAAGACCTTTGTAAAAGCTCAGTTCAAGCTGAGCTCAAAAGTCTTTAGGGTCTGGACAATGTGATTCCCCATTGGATTAAAATTTATTTGCAATACACACCATAAAGGAGAGCTGCAAGTGCAGCTGTAATCTACCTTTTCACATAGCAACACTAAAACCTCGGAAAGGGTTCAAGTCACAAGACAAAAGCAGAAGCACAGATGGCCTTTCACAGCCATGTGAAAGAAATGTTTCTGAAGCTAAACCCCAGCTTGCTTCCTCCTCAACCCTACTCAAGGCGTGACTCAGGTGCAGAACTCCAGTGTGAATGACCTTGCATACAATGAGAGGCTTCCATTCTGAAGCTCTGCTGCTTTGCTATATTTATGGCACGTACTGGAAATGAGAGTTGTTAATAAAGAGAACTGCAGGAAGATCTTCCAATCAACAAAAAATAATTGAACATACCTTCCAGAATGGGGATTCTAGAGTGTCTTTTTTGCACGATATACAAACTGATTATTGAGGCAAATTTTGTAATTATTGTATTAAACTTGAAAACACAACTGAAAGATTTTGATGATTTAGCTACTTTGACTTTTAATAGTAAATCTTATTAAAATATTCTAAGTTCTCCATTCCAGTTTTCTTGATCTGACTTGCAACTTTCAAAGCCTACTTCTACCTTCAATCAATCACATGAAAACATCGGATTCAGACATTTGTTTCATTTTGTACCATTTAAAAGTCTCAATGTGACCCGCACATTTCAAAGGGACGTGTCAAAACACTCGTACAAAATTGCTGTCTAGAATCAGGCAACAAAGCGCTTGCTAAAAATCACTACTTCCAATGCTGTAAACATTCTGTAGCAAGTTCAACTTCTGAAGTTGCTTTTATTTACCAATAGACAATTACAGTGCATTCACTGCAATTGTTATCACTCATGCATTTGACATTAGTAGGAAACATCCTGAAGGAAGACATTTTCCATTAAACTGATGAATCACTACCTTTAGGGCTGAATTCTGATCTTTGGTGTGGCATAAACTTAGCCTCCATGGAAGACTTCATGCACTGCTCTTTTGTGCAAATTTGCCTTTAAGGTAGGATTCTCCACATTAAGAACATCCTCATCTTTTTTAGGACACTGACAACTACAGTTATCACTCTTGCCATTATTATTTCATAACTCTGTTTCACAGGTAGAAGATAGCTTTGGGGCAGTCATATATTTCATTATCATGTATTTTTCATTGCAGCCTCGAACATATATTCATTTGGGAGAAGAGAAGACTTGCACAAATTTGAATAAAGGAATAAAAACCTGACACCTAGTTTTTTAACCAGTATAATAAAAAAAAGGGAGGGGGGGGAGAAAGCACAAGAACCCTTGCTCCCTGTGGCAAGAAATCATTGTAATTTCAATAGGAAGCTCAAAGGAAAACCTTTTCTCCCCATGGGTTGGTCTCAAGCTTACCTATAATGCCTTGAAATGGAAAGACCTGACATGTTTCCCAGTGATACTTGGTGAAAGGCAGACATTCCTCAGCGAACAATGTTAAAAGTCTTGGTACTAAAGCAGCCAGTGTCAATCATGTCCTCATTATCTATTCCAATGCTCATTTTCCAAAGAATGGCATCCAAATCACACTGTTAGAAATTATAACACTGGACTTCAGATGTGAAAGAAGAAAGCAGACAACAAAAACACTGGAGCATGTATTTTCCCAAAAGACCTGGAATTCAAGGTACCATTAAATTACTAGAAATAAGAGCAGTAAGTCCTCTCGTATAAAGAAGATGAAGAGCAGAAATGGAAAATTTTCAATGTATGTACCAAAGCAAATATGTTCTAAGATATCTAGAATATAATAACTTAAAAGAGTAACATCTCTGAATGAGTTGTATATTTGAGAAGCACAGGTCAGAGGCTTGGAATACTTCCAGGAATCAAAAAGTGCGACAGCTAGGAAGTATTTTCTGAAAATGGAAATAGGACATAATGGAAGATATAATTTATATAAGCACAAATGTTCTTTCACTCTTACATTTATAATTTTATAATGTCAAACCATGTTTGTTTGTTTAATACTTAGTCCTTTCAGCTAAATCCCTGAAAAAAATCAATCTTCTTTTCCTTAGGCTGTTATAGATTGAACAAGGAGTTCATAAAACCATGACAAGAAATTGTACTGAAAATGTAGAAAAGGAGCAAGATGCAAAGAGGAGATGAAAGAAATATTAAGGAAGGAATGCAGGAAGAATGAAAATTAAGTAATTGAGTGATTCAATGCATAATGAAGAGGTGGATTACCTGAACACAGGGAAACAGAAAAAGTAGATTTAGAAAGGATCTATAAAGACGATGTGGAGTCAGTAGAAATAAAATGGAGACCAGTACAACAAAACAGAAAGAACTGAACAGTGAAGCAAAGATAGCCATAAATAGGGTGGCATACAAAGGACAAGATGGGAAAACAGGCAAAGCAATACTAAAACTTATGGAAAAGGGCATTTTAATGTGGACGCACTCGCCCGATATAAGCAGTGCAGCAGTCATACGACACAAGCAGTTGACACCTGCAAATTAAAGTGCACAACACAAACTGCAATATATCAAACTGAAAGGGTTCGAGGGAATAGGACAGTGAATGAAAACCTGAGAGACCTGTATTAAATTACAAGTTCGGCCATTATCTTCCAATGAGATATGAAAAATGGGAATATAATACCTCCTACCTTGTTGTGAACGATAAAAGTAATTAATTACCATGAAGTGCTCACACATTACAGTGCTGTGGGGGAAATAAACAAGTAGGATCTAATTGCTGTCGTAAGATAAAGAGTACAAAACGTATATCACTGATTGATGGACTGAGGGGTTACAAACTGATTGTGTTATCTAAGAGACTGAGAAATCTCAGAATGATCAGATTTTACATGCTTTTCTTTTTTTTTCTTTTTTTTTTTAAGTCCAAGCAAACAGAGTCATTAGATTCAAAAAAGTATATCGAGACATCAGATGAAAAATGGGAGACGAGGATCTCCTGAATGTGGTACAAACACAGGAAGAAGGAATATCATGTCCTGTGATTAAATGAAAGCTCACAGCATCAAAGAGCAAAAAGTAAGAACTTGTAGAGAAAGCAAGGAAGGGAGGGCAGAAGCAGTTTTATGAGACAGTGCTTCAGAGATTATTCTATTAAAAAGTCTCTCTACAAAAGAAGATGCCACTTAAGGTGTCTCACTTATTTCACAAATACTGGCAAAGGATCTGGAAGCAGAACTCCAGCAGTTGTTCAGGCAGGAACTAGGGAGAAGTCTGTGATGTTTGCACACATAGTTTAGTGGGGGATGAAGGTTTTCTCAATGAAAATTCAGTAGCAGATCACTGACCATATAATTTTTCTTACTTCTTTAAAGTTAGATTACTGATTCAAATACAAATTTATTTCGGGCTCCTAATCTGGATTTATGTAATCAGTCCAAACCTTACTGAAGAAGAAAAAGAATTCCTACAATTTAACTTTTTAAGAAATATTTGTATAAAAAATTAAATGGTGAAAACCTCAAGACATATGGAAGAGACATTTTTAGGACTCGACAACAAAGTCAAGCATAAACTTATAAACTTAATTCCAAGACTTATAAAAAGACAAAAAAATAAATAAAACTGACACAGAAATACAAATATGACATCTGGTGGATTTCATTTGTTTTTCTGTGGGAATAATTCCCGAAAGTCAAAGACAGTGAGATTAAACTCTGGAACAGTATTTCCTTTCCTGCCTTGCCTAACTTGTTTGAATTCATGCTGTAGATGTAGTCAGCTTGAGACGTTCCCAGTACTATTTAATCATAACAGATACAGCAGGGTCTTTTACTTCTCACCATAATCTACCATCATATTATAGTACATTTAGATTCGAAATCCAAAGTCTAATCTTTGTAATGCTGTTTCCAGAAGTTATTAGCATCTGCAATCCCAGTGAATTTAATAAGAAGTGACCAATATATTTCAAATTTAGGTTAGTTTTAATAATTTTTTACTTAAAGTACGCGAATTTCAGAAGTTAGGAGAGTAGACTTTTTTGTTGTATCTGAATTTCAGTACTTGTAACTCCACATAAGCCTATCAAATAGTTTTGCTTGACATGATCTATGTACCTTCTTTAATTGCCTTACAGCAGAATCATCAATTACAATAGTGATGCCATCAATCTCTAAAGAATACTTGATTAAAAAGTGCAAATGAAGCATGCTGGTAATTCTGATTAATGCATTTACAACATTTTTTCTATGGTTTTATAAATTAAATCTGCAATGAAGACAAGCAGTTGTATTATCTAAAGTGGAGCTGAAGATAACTTGTCTTCTTCCCAGAAGACATTAAGATTTTTAATAGTTAAAGCAAGGTAGGAAATTTCAAACCACTTAAGTAAGAGTTTTAGTAGAATCAGGAATTGAAATATCATACATTTTGTCTAAAACTTAGAACTGCATTTTCAATTTCCCCAGAGCTTATTACAGTCTTATGAGTGATCACAAAGTGCACGAAAATAGCTGTGCAGCAACATTTTACCTCTGCTTTCCACTCATGTAGAAGATTCCTCACAAAGAATAGAGAACAAGATGATATGAGTTTTGAAAATAGGGCAAGAAAATGGTTCCTTCAGAGTAAATTATTTACATTTATAATTTTGATTTTCTAGTCTTATAATTGCAATTTTATTACATTTCAAAAATTGAGTAATACTATTGTCAGGATCTTTTTTTCCTTTTCTATTCTCCCAGCACATTCCCTGCCTAATCAATAACTCAAATTATCTGGTTCTTGAAGAACCTTTTAAAGACATTTCTAAGTTTCTTGGTTTCTAACTGCTGCAAAATATTTAAATACTAGTCTTAGAGTTGGATTGATCTTTTCAATCCCTTAGTTTTCTGAAATCACACACAAACAAAAATAAACATACTTACATCATTCTGATCATCTTTTGCATTGTAATAGATTATATCATTATTCTGTAAGAGAAAGAAAAGTCATTCTGTTAGTTTGAGATAATAAAGTTTACTAGCAATAATTTGTACTAAAATATATTTTAAATAAACCCAAATTTCTTTATGTATCTTTTTTGAAATATGACAGAATCAGACCTTTGCTTGCTCTCTGTTGCATGTAATAGTTCTCATGCTCCTGTTTAACTTAATTAATTTAATTCTTCTTCCCTGGAAGCTACATAAGTCACTCAAAAACCCTACTAGAAAAGTACAGACAATGTTGGACAAAATCCAGAGTTCGTAAGAGACTTCTGTAAGCCTTATCTTTTACAGACATACAACTATCTCACCGTGCAATCATGTGATTTATGCACCACGACATCTAGCAGGCAATAGATACAGCGACGCACGGGCATTGCTAAGTGGGTTAAGTATTTGTTGCAGTCACATTTATTGTTTTATTTATTTGCCTCCCATGGTGAAAATAAAAGCTTGGAAAATACATCACAGGAGAGTCTGGCTGTTGTAGTGTGAAGTGGATCCTGGTAACTCTGTGCAAACACCGTACCATGTAATTCAAGTAAAGCAATGAAAGAGAAGATTACTGGTTTCCATTGCAAAATCAGTCAGAAACTTCATTCAGTGTAAAGTCTGCAGCAGTTTGAACACTGGAGTAGTTCCTATGGAACACGTTTTTGTTTTCTCTTGGAGTATTTCTGAACCATTTAAAAGCCTTAAAGATTTAGGCTTACTGTAGTAGCTTTCTACTAAATAGAATTGCTGTAACGTGTCCTATATATGCTTTTGTACGTTTTGAATAAAAGTAAGCAATTGCTATGTGCATTTTGATTGAAATAGACATATATGTGAATGTAGTATTTTTAAAAGTCCCATTATAGATTGTGGATAAATACAGAAAAGCAGAAGAAGGTACATTTCTTCATGTCCAACATTTTGTTTAAAATAGGTGATTGCTGTTAACCTCTAGAAATAGGCTTAATTTTTATCTTCATTTCTGTTTATGGTAATACCTTTGAATTTACATATTTAAATGAAAATTTGACAACAAAAGTGTTTTTTATTTTATAAACACTAGCAGGAAAGGATTATTTCAGTAATCATTTTTCAAGTGGGTAAGACAAAGACGACTATTACTTGCACTAAAAAAGTACCATGTCGTGTGCTACAAAGTAATGCAGTTCACCTTTATAAACCATCGTTTTCCTCACTTCATAAATAATGACATCATTCATTCTCCTTTGTGACCTTTTGGAGATCCAAACATGAAATATATTATAGATGAGCTAAATGCCATTTTGAGGTAAATGCTATTAACATGAACTAATCAATTTCCCATTTCCCTCAAAATGCACTTTTCCACTTTTCCATCAAGAAGCTTTTCTCCCACCAGCTCAGTTGGTTTTGTATCAGTATCTGGGTAACTAAGCCAGACCTCAGTGTTACAGAAAAAGGAGGAAATTTTTTTCATCATTTTAACTGTACTTTGTTTCCCAGCTTTGAGTATTACATAATTCCAAAGGGAAACACTACATATTGGGTAATATTAATTAATTCCTAAATTTCATCACACAGAAACCAAAGTTTCTGGTCTCTATGAGCTGAATGCCTAGAGATTTGAAGAAACACATAGATTCATCAAACAGAAGAAAAGCATGGGAAAATACAATCTTTCAGAACATCTACAGATGAAATTTGGTTTCACACCAACATGAACTTACACTTGCATTTTGGTTCTCTATTAAGTATGTCCACAGACACAGTCTATTGATTCAGGTAGTTGAATGCCTAATCTCATCTGAGGATTATGTGAATGGAGCTAAAGTTGTTTGTCAACACAAGAAATAATACTTTTTTTTCAATCAAATTCTTTAAGAATAACACAAAGAGATTACAGTGAAACAAGGTATATCAGTCTGTACAGATAATTATATATAGTAAATTGTGATAATATATCTACATAATTTTGTTGGTAAATGCTATACATCTTCCTTTACTCTACGAAGTGCCAAAGATGAAAGCTCCTTGTCATCACTGCCATTCAATGGCTTCTGTAGGAAAACCTGCTTCTGCAGGTGGTCTTCAACCACCAACTGGTCAAATCTCTTTTTTGGTGGAAATACTGCATGTGTGATTTTTTTAAAGTATCTGCTTTTCCACAAGAGATGTTTGCATTTAATTCATAAAACAAACAAACAAACAAAAAGTGGGTGGGGAGGAATTTAAGATTTTCAACAAACATCTAATGCTATCTCTTCAGAAACGCTGCTTTCATGGAAGCTGTAATTAAGATCCCTTAAGCCCTCAACCTTCCTAGAGAATCTACCTAACTCAGACACTGGGGTTCAGCATGCAGGGGAGAATGAAGGCATAAAATCAATTCTAGAACTTTATGAGACATTATAATGGACTACCTGAAAAAAAATGGGGGAGAAACCAGTTTTCTGCAGTTTTCATATAGTAAGAAATCAATGTCATGTGTTTAGTTTAGACAGACATCACAATTACCCTTTTTTTCCTAAAGTAGCAGTTCCGAAGCAATTGCAGATAAAATGTGAAAGCAAAAAATAACACTCTTTTCCATTACTTTATTTGATACAGAGATGCTTGAAGATAATGAACTCACTCAGAGAAGAAAGCAGTTGTTACAAAGTTTTTGTTAAAGATCTTCATACTTCAAACATTTTCTTCAATGAACCACTGGAGGCAAACGTAAAACTAGTGTAGTAGTTTATACTGCAAATATATATTACTGCATAATTAGTAGTGCATGTTTTAAAATCTGAAATTAAGGCCAAATATGATTATTTAAATTTTGTTTTAAAGCATCATACTTCCCTTAACTTCTAAGTATTTTATACAAAAATGTGCTAAAGCAACCAAACAGAGGCAAAGTACAAAAGTTCCTTTATATTGCAGTTAATCTGCTACTAGTGATACCTACCAGGACTCTTTTGTTCTGCAAATAAAGAGGTAGAGTAAGAAATCAGAAACCAAGAAGAAACAAACCATTTTATACACATATGAGTGATTTTGTCTGTTTGGTTTTAAAATAAGTTTTTAGAATTACAGATACAAATTTGAAGAATATTTTACAATCATATTAGTCCCACATACTTTGAAAGGACACAGAACACCAGTGAATGAACTGGAAATCCTGTTGCTCAGCATGTAGGAATAAAAAAATTAATAATACTAATTTATTTAATCTTTCTTAGATATATTAGATGAAATTAGCATAAATGCCTATAAAAGTTTCATTAAGTGTTGGTAAAATCCATCGGCTTTAATATGAAACAGTATTTTCTTGGATAAAGATGTATATTAAAAAAAAGTTCACTCTAATACCATTAGGGTAATTAAGATTTAAAACCAACCTAATAAATCCTATGACAAACACTCAAGGTAGTTTTAGTTTAATCCCTCTGACATGCAGTTTAAGGCACAATTAGACTCATCTGAGAAGAAAGCTAAATATGACCTACCACAAATAAAAAATGTCACCTGTTTCTAAAAAGAATAACTTTAGGGTATAAAAGCCTGCAAATAGGGAAAAAAATGAAAGACTACTACTACAACCTCTTGTTATAGCTTTGTAACTTTACATAAGTGAAATGGCATAACCAAAATAAGGGGATTACCAGCTAATAACCTTTTTTTTCCCCTTCAGTATCTACGAGTAGAAATACTGATTTACCGCCTGTTGTTAAAATGAAATCAAAGTCCAGTAATATAATAAATTAGTTGCGATTACTGTGTCTGAACTTGGGCTGTCAGAAATGGGTTAAAAAGAGCATTTAACACAGGAAATTGAAAAAGGGCTTAGAAACAAGGTCTTTAAAAAAATCAAACTATTTTTAATTTTAAAAAAATTGCAAATATCAAACAATATTCAGTAACATCACAGTCTAGAAATATTTCCCCATATTACCCATAATATGGGCAAATGAGTCACTTGGGTAAGACATTTTTTCCCAAAATATAGTTTGATTAAAGAATTACTTTCTCAGTATATTAAATTTCATATACTAATTTAAAACTTTCAGGTTTGCACTATAATTAATTAAAGCCCTTTTCAACAGATTTGTGTAAAGGGCTTTTCTCAAGATTTTACTGAGACTAATAATTGGAATGAAAAGATGAAGGTGTAGACTACTGGAAATAACATAAACGAAGATTAAAGGTGCTGCATACCCTTGGCCATGGAATGCACATACATTTACAGTTTATTCCTTCCCTGAAATCATCAAGCAGGAAACCCTAGAACTCATAGACAGTTTATAGTCATGAGATGGTCACTTGTACATACCCAGATGCATCAGACGGATAAAGAAAATGAATAATTAATTAATCATGGGCATGCTAGACAGGGGGAATAAAACATACAAACCTCCTATAAACAGATAATTTATCAGGTAAGAGTCATGTACAGATACAGATTGCAGATAAAAATGCAGTATACTAAAACATGTACTTTCAAGCCCTCGACATCTATTCTAAGGGATTTTGATCCGAAGCAAGATCCAGAGATGCAGTGCTGATGGTGGACTGAATTTGGGCATCTCAGTTAAAAACTGAGATCAACTTGGAAAAATCTAAAATTCTGGATTTACCTGAGTTTCCAGCATCAATATTCTCTAGGTATCTTAATATCCTATTTCTAGGATATTTAGTTAGAAAAAAGAGAAGTAGTGAAGTGTATTAAGGTTGCATGCAGAGCCACTAAAAAAAGTTATAAAATATATTAGGAGTATTCCTGTCTTCAAATCTCTAGAATTGATCATATAAACTCTATAGAATAGGGAAAGGTTTTCCACGTCAAATAAAACTCAATATTCAGCTAATTTTCACCATAAAAACTGTTATAAGAAACTTGCCATTGGACTACTTAAGCTGTCAAGATGATATTTAACTTCCTGAAAAAAATAAGACTGCATTTAAAATGCTTAGAGACATATTTTAGTAGCGGACAAGTCATGGTGGATGATTCGATGATTCTATGTTTC